AAAAAAAAAATTTAAGTTTGTTTTTAAAAAATATTTTCAACTTCAAAATTTTATTTTTTCACCCCTACCCTCGACCACCCACCACCCACCCCCTAAAAGAAAACTACTCATACAAATAAAATAAAATAAAACTATTTGTACAAATAAAATCTAAAATAAAACTATTTGTACAAATAAATCTAAAATAAAACTACTTGTACAAATAAAACAAAAAACTACTTAAATAAATGAATATAAAATTAAAGGAAAAAGGGACTCAAACTTGGGAGAGTTGGCAAAATAGCCACTCTCCAAACTTAATTGAACATTAAGACAAAAGTCTTGAATAATTTGTGGTATACCCACTATTAATGACATCATCCACATGCCTTAATTGGCTCATACAAAAGACCTCCCTAAGTTTTCATATCTCCACTTTGGTCCCCCCTTCTTTTCCAACTAATTTGGAATAATATATATTTGCATTTGTTAAAAATTATATTAGAAAAAAAGATAAAAGCCAAACGGGAAAGAAGAGCAACTCGTTTTGCTGTTGTCGAAACTGACGATTCCGATGAGTTTTCCGGCCAAAATATCAATTTCCAAGGTAAAATCATCATCATCTCCTACTCCATATTCATGTTTACTCCATTTTCTTTCAAAAGCAAAGCTTCCAAATGATTTTCCCGCCATTTTAGAAATTTGAGAAATCTTCCATATTAAACACTTGATAACTCATTATAGATTCATTTTAGTAGTTTAAAAGCATTAAAAATCTGTTTCGCTATTGCAGGAGCTGCATTTTGAAGCACGATCTCATTCAATCGCGTTTTTGTACGGATGTCGTACTTCATCGATCGTTAACGACTGATACTGTAATCTAGTATCTATCTTTGTAGTCTATAATGACAGTAGCTGAATTTGTTGTTGCTTGTGGTGATTATATGGAAGTATGGGAGGAGACTCCTAAAAGCTAGAATTGGAAATCTTTTAGTAAGACGACAGTGCCCATTGCGTTGCGTCGCAATGGTTCATATGACGATATGATTGCAAGCGTAATTGAGGCCGGTGAGTTAACTTGCGAGCCAAATGACTTGGTGATTAGCTATGAAATGAATGGGAGGGGGAAAATACATCCCACATTCATAAAAAATGATAGGCACGTGAGCTTATACATGCTAGATATTGGTATTGATGGCTCTAGACCTACATTGAGGATAAACGTCAATGTGAGGCCTCTAATTAAACCAACAAATTCATTTACGGCGACAATGATTCGATTGGAAAAGAAAGATTATGTGATCATTCAAAGGAGAGCTTGGGTGATAATTCAAATGAGAATTTGGGTGATCATTCAATAAATATACATGATGAGCCAACTAATGTGGAAAATCAGCCAGTAGATGCGGAAGATCCCGAACTCGAATGTTGTGAAGAAATGCAGGTACAAAGGAATTGGGATCACAATCCAACCATTCCTTCTTTGATGGAACTAATTTATGTATAAACCAAACTTTCAATAAGAAGAATGAGTTGCAATTGTTATTATCCGAAGCGGCGGCAACAAAGTCTTTTGATTTTGCTACTGTGAAGAGTTGTACTAAATACTTAAAGGTGAAATGTGTATCTCGCAATTGTTCATGGATGTTGCGAGCGAGGAAATATGAGTGTTCGGATAGATTTCGTATCTATAACTATAAGTACATTGGCGAACATAGTTGTGGCGTTAAACATGCCAACAGTAGCCATAGAAAAATTTCAATCAAAGTCATTGTTTCACTTTGTGTAAATATGTATCGTGATGCCAAATGTTAAAGAGATTCAAAGAAATATGTTTAATTCTTTTCTTTGTAGTCCAAGCTATTGAAAATATTGGAAGGGTGGTGTGGTTGCTAAGGAAATGGTCCGAGGGACAACGGAGAACGGATATTCATGCTTACCAGCTTTTTCCTACATGTTCGAGACACTTAATGTTGATTCTAGTTATTGTCTCATGGTAACGAGGATAGTCATAGGTTCATGTATTGTTTCTTATCCTTTGGTGCTTGCATTAAGGGATTTGCCCACATGAGAAATGTAATTGCGGTTGATGGCACTCATTTACATGGTAAATACGAGGGCGTGTTATTGAGCGTTGTTGCACAAGATACGGAGAATCATGTTTATCCAATTGCCTTTTGTGTCGTGGACAAAGAGAATGATGCATCTTGGACATTCTTCTTTGAGAAATTGAAGGAGATTGTGGTCGATGAACCAGATTTGTGTTTTATCCCCGACAGACACAAGAGTATCGCCAACAATATTGTGAACGTTTATAATCATGCTCACCACGGATATTATATAAGACACCTTGGTGAAAATCTCGACGTAAATCATCATTGTGGAGATTACCTTTATCTTTACTACAATGCGACAAAGGCTTATTCTTTGGAGGAGTTTGACAATCATTTTGTAGAATTCAAGAACAAATGCCCCGCTGCAGCGGTCGTCCTTGAGCATGATCTTGGTTTTGAGAAGTGGAGCAGGACACATTTTCTATTTTTTAGTGTATAAAAAGAAGGATTCATGAACTCTTCCATATTCTTATTCTATTTTATAATACTTAAACATCTCTTTTTATTATGTCTCAAGCATCTCAAACATCCAATGCAAAAAAATCTTACGTTTGTCGTTGTGGTAATTTAGCTATGTTGAGGAC